GATGTGGGGACGCGGGGATGGGACGTGGGGATGTCGTGGAGAGGGGCGTGGGGGAGCGGGATTGGCCGAGGAGGTGAATGGGAGGGAAGGTGGGGGTGGGATGGAGCGCGGTGCGGGGACGTGGGGACGGATTAAAGGGGTGTGGGGACAGGGGCAGAGGTGGGGATAGGGGTGGGTATGAGGGCGTGGGGATGGGATGGAGCCGGGTATGGCGATGTGGGGAGGGGTGGAGCGGGGTATGGGGGTGTGGGGCAGGATGAAGTGGGGGTAAGTGGGAATGGGACAGAATAGGGTACGGGAATGGGGGAACCGCATGGGGTGAAGTGTGGGGACGGGAGAGTGGGATGCAGCGAGGTATGGGGATATGAGGATGGGATGGAGAGGGGTACAGAGACATGGGGACAGCGTGGAGTGGGATGTGGGGACGTGAAGGGGGGCACAGTGACACGGGGACAGCGTGGGGTCCGGTGCAGGGATGCGGGGACGGGACAGAGCGAGGCACGGGGTGCAGTGACACACAGGGTCCCCACCCGGGGCTGCGGACGTGGGCTGCTGCTGGTGGCACCGAGGTGACAAGGGTGGTCCCCAGTGGCGGGGGGCGAGGACTGCCTGTGGTACGTGGACAAGAACGGCTCGTGGCATCCCGGCTTCGACTGCGAGGCTCTGTCGTTCTGCTGCGGCTCCTGTCACCAGCGGTACTGCTGCTACGACCCCCTGCGCCTCCTGACCGAGCGCCAGCAGCGCCACTGCCTCGCCTTCAGGTGCTGGGGCTGCACGATGCCGGTGCTGGGAGTCAATGCTGGATGCAGGGCATCAATCGGTGCTGGGTGCTGGGTACGGGGTGATGGGTGTCACTGCTGGGTGATGGGTGTCACTGGTGGGTGATGGGTGTCACTGGTGGGTGCTGGGTGTCATTGCTGGGTGATGGGAGTCATTGCTGGGTGATGGGAGTCACTGCTGGGTGATGGGCATCAATCAGTGCTGGGTGCTGGGTGTCATTGCTGGGTGCTGGGAGTCATTGCTGGGTGCTGGGTGTCATTGCTGGGTGCTGGGAGTCATTGCTGGGTGCTGGGAGTCACTGCTGGGTGCTGGGCATCAGTCACTGCTGGGTGCTGGGAGTCATTGCTGGGTGCTGGGAGTCACTGCTGGGTGCTGGGAGTCATTGCTGGGTGCTGGGTGTCATTGCTGGGTGCTGGGAGTCATTGCTGGGTGCTGGGAGTCACTGATGGGTGCTGGTATCTGGGTGCTGGGCACCAATGTCGAGTGCTGGGCATCATTCACTGCTGGGCGCTGGGATCCGGGTGCTGAGAATGGGCGCTGGGTGCTGGCTCTGGGTGCTGAGCAGCACTGCTGGGTGCCTGCTTTTGGGCTCTGGGGTCAGAGCGCTGTCCCTCAGCCCTAAGACCATCGCGGGCATCGCCTCGGCCGTGGTGCTGTTCATCGCCATCGTCACCACCATCGTCTGCTGCTTCATGTGCTCCTGCTGTTATCTGTACCAGCGGCGGCAGCACCTCCGCACCCCCCTGCAAGGTGGGAGCTGGGGAGGGGGCTGAGAGATGTGGGTGTAGGGGGGGGTCTGAGGGGGTGTAGGGTGGGGATTGGGGGTGCAAGGGGGGATTTGGGATACAGAAGGAAAGATTTGGGGTGCAAAGGGTGGGGGGGTGGAGTACAGAAGGAGGGCTTTGGGGTGCTGGGTGGGGGATTTAGGGTGTGAGGGAGGACTTGGGATGCATGGTGGGGGATTTGGGGTTGGCACAGCAGAGGGCAGCCCCCAGCTCTCTCTCCTACAGGCCCTGAGATCCCGCTGGCCAGCTATCCTGCACCCCCACCCGCTCCCTTCCCTGTGGACCCCAAAGCTGGCCCCATGCCCCCCCAGCCCGGCTTCGCCCCCATGGCCATGTACCCACCCACCGGCCCCGCCGCCCAGTACCCGCTGTACCCCTCAGGACCCCCGGTCTACAACCCTACAGGTGAGCACTGGGTCCTCCTTAAAAGCACCACAGCCTTTTGGGGGGGCCCACACCGACCCCCCCCTTCTCTCTCCGCAGCACCACCACCCTACGTCCCTGCACAGCCCAGTTATCCCGGTGCCTGAGCCCCCCTGGGGACTCCTGTCTCAATGGTGACACCCATAGGGGACACAGCGGGGGGGGTGGGGGGGGTCACGCTGTCCCCACCCCGGGGCCGCGATTCTGCCCTGTGATGCTCATGGAAATCTCTGCCCCCCGCCCCCCCCCCCCCGGCCACAGTGGGGACAAGCAGCACAGAGGGCCTTTTGTCCCCACTCCACACACTGGGCCCATTGTGGGTGCTCACGGGGGGGGGCCATGCATGAAGGTGGGGGCAGCGAGGCCGGGGGTCCCCCTGCCCTCTGGCACCGGGGGGGGGAACCGTGGTCCAAACAGGCAGCATTAAACTGCGCGTCCCCCCGGCGTGGTGTTGTGTCAGTGCTCCACACCCTTTGGAGGGAGAGGAGAGGGGGGGGAAATAGATTTCAATGGGGTCGCGTTCCTCCTCCTCCTCCTGAACATTCCTGCATCCCAAAATCAATCATTTCCTTTTAGCGACTCCCCCTCCCCCCCCCCAAACCGACACAGAACCGGGGTGCAAACCCCGACCGCGGTGGCATTTTGGGGTCAAAAGCACCAAACCCACAGCCCTGAGCGCAGCTCACTGATTTCCCCACCGCTCTGCGCCGCGGGGGCCGGGACGCGTCTCCCCCCCATCCGCTGTGGGCTGTGATTCACTGCCTATTTTCGGAGTGATTCACACCATGCAGCGGCACGGCGGGGGGGGGGGAGGAGGGAAGGGGGGGGCTAAATTTGGGACTGCCACATCCCAGCAGCCTGAGTGGGACCCACAGCGCCGATGCGCTGCACGGATGTTGGGCTTTGTGCCGCCTCTGGGCTCTCAGCACCGCACCCCAACCTCTTTCCTATTAACAAAAAGCCCCTCAGCCACCCGCGGCTCCTTAGGAGGGGGGAAACCGAGGGGCCAGCGCTGAGTTTTATTGAAGTGGGGAGTTCAAATAATAAAAAGGGGACGGGAGGCGCGGGCGGGGGGCTGGGGGGGGCTCAGGGCTGGGGGGCCGCGTGCCCCCCGAGGTAGCGCTCGCGGATCTGGGCCAGGCTGGCACTGAGGCCGCCCAGCGCCTGAGCGATGCTGCGCAGCACCGCTGCCATCTCCCGGCGGCTCTCGGCGCACTCCCTGCGGAAGGCTCGCATCTCCTGCACCAGGCGCTCGTTGCAGCGGATGAGGCGCAGCTCGGCCGGGCTGAGCCGCGCGCTGCTTTCGGGGGTCCCGTCCGTCCCGCCGGGGGTTCCCCCCCCCGTTTCGCTGCAGTCACTGAGCTGTTCGGTGTCCGGCTCGAAGATGACACTGCTGGGAAAGTCACAGCCCGGAGGTTCTGGTTGGATCCCCAGGTCGGAGTGGGGGGGCTGCGGGGGGCTCCAGCCCTCGCCGGGTGTCTGGGTGCTGCTGCGGGGCTGCCGCCGTGCCGGGACGGTGCTGCCGTCCGTGGGGTCATGGAAGGGCTCCGTCTTCACCTCCATCGGTTCCTCCTTCACCGCCTCCTCCTTCACACCTGTGCAGGACGCAGTGCTGTCACATCGCTGTCACCCCCCACCCCCCTGGCGGCCTTTGGGAGCCCCCGGCGCTGGGATTCGGGACAGGAGGGCAGGAAGCGCTGCGCCGTGGGGACACCCAACGCAGCACTCATGTCCCGTGTCCCCATACATCCCTGTGTGCCCAATGCCCACCCACCCCCATCCACGTCCCTCATCCCTCTATCTGCATCCCACATCCCGTGTCCCTTGTCCGTTCTCAGCCCCTTCTCATGTCCCCATCCCTGTCCTGCTCTCCCGTGTCCCTGTTTGACTTCACCACATCCCTGCCCTGTACCACATCCTGCCCAATCCCTGTCCCCATCCCTGTGTCCCACGTCCCTGTCTGCGTCCCCGCGGCCCTATCCCTGTCCACGTTCAGTCCCGTATCCCATCTCCCTCTCACGGCCCTTCTGTGCCCATCCCACTCCCCCATGTCCCCACCTCGGTCCTGGTCCCTGCCCCATGTATCTGCTCCCCGTCCCACCCAGACCCACCCCACATCCCTGCCCCACCCCCTCCTCCCCCGTCCCGCTCCTTTCCCCCATCCTCTCCCCATCCTCCCCGCCCCATCCCACCCCGCTCCGTCCCCGCACGCACCGCACGGTGCCGCCCTTTCCCCTCCGAGCAGCGGTGCCGCTTCGCAGCCGCGCGGTCCCCATAGGGGCGCGGGTCCGGGGCCGAGCTCAGCGCTGGCGGTGCCGGTTCCGGCGGCCCCGTGGTGCCGGGCCGCGTTGGTTCGCGGTGCCGGTCCCTGCCGCTCCTGCCGGTGCCGGGTGATTTTATCGTTGGCGCGGCGGCGCAGCCCCCTCCAGCGGTTCTTCACCTCGCCGATGTCGCGTTGGTTGCGGCCGGCGGCGTTGATCTTATTGGTGATGCGCCACCAGATCTTCTGCTTCTCGTAGGCGTTCACGGTGCTGGCGGCGGCGCCGAAGAGCAGCGGTTCGTAGCGGAGCACTTCGCTCATCAGGATCTCGATCTCCTGCAGCGTGAAGTTGGGCTTCCGCTTCAGCAGCCCCCGCCGCGCCGCGCCGCCCGCCGCCGCCATGCTGCCCGCCGCCGCCGCCGCCTCATGCCGCCGCCCCGCCGCCCATCGCCTCCCTCTTCCCCCCCCCGCCCCGGCACCGCCGCCCCTTTGTCTGCGCCGCCGCCGCCGCCGCACCGAGCGGCCGCCGCCGCGGGAGCGGAGCGGGGGGGGCAGCGCGGCGGGGCGGGGCGGGCGGCGGCACCGCGAGCTCTGCCGGCGGTGCGACCCGCGGTATGGCGCCCCCTGCTGGGAGCCGCCGGTACAGCGCCCCGCGGCCAGGCCCGGTACTGCCCCGCGCGGTGTGGCGCCCCCTGGCGGCCTGAGCGTGCGGCACGGCGGGGTATTTTGGGAGCGGCAGCGCCGTGCCCACGTTTGGGTCCCCGATGCCCCGGTCGGGGTGCGCAGATTGGGATGGCTCTTTTGTGTTTGGCTGTGTTGGGTGCCCAGCTGGCCCCACGGTGCCCTTTGGGGTGCCCCGAGGTGCTCACCCTGGGGTGACCGCATGGCTCCAGGTTGCCTGGTTGTGATGTCCCTATTTTGCGGCACTTAAAGACGTGGTTTGTCGCCGTGGTGGGGATGGGCTGACGGTTGGACTCAGTGATCTTAGAGGTCTTTTTCAACGTGAACAATCTGCAAGTGTTCCCAGCCCCCCCTCCCACGCCACCACCTGGCCCCGGCCCCAGCTTTCATGGTGTGCTGGCCAGGGGCTGCCTGTCCCCCCGCTGTCCCTGAGGAGCACTGAAGCGTTGGGTGAAGCTTTATTGCCGATGCGGTGGCCGCGGTGTACAGACCACGAGCGAGGCTTTGCACCAGGGCAGGCACTGCGGCCCCAAACGTATGCCCATGGTTGGTGGAGTGACACTGCGGGTGACACGACAGGTGACAGTGTTATCCCTTGCTGCTATCCCCCCCCCAAAGTTCCATAGATCACTCAGTCCCTGCATGGAGACAAATGTCTGCTAAGAGAGGTCAGGTCATGTCCTGCAGGGGTGGGACAGCCCTGGGGTCACCCCCAGCTGTGTCCCCCTATCCTGCTCCAGCTCTTCCCAAATCCCACCCCTACACCACCCAATGTTCACCCCATCACCCTCCTGGCCACGCGGGGACCCCATGGGGACACACACCATGGCCACGTCCCCATGACCCGCCTGTCCCCATCCGCTCGCCTCAGGCTGGATGGGGCTGGGGGATGCAGCCCCTCAGTGCACCCCTGGCCCCGTGGCACCCCCAGCCCCGTTGTCACCTCCCTTCTGCCCCTTTCCCTGCATTGGGGTGGGATGTGGCAGCGGACACTCAGCCAATCCCTCCCCATCCCTCCTCAGTGTCCCCAAGCAGTGCGGGGCACGGTGCTGGCAACAGAAAGAGCTTGAGGGATCACAACTGTACAAACAATAAATACGAGGTCTTTCTCACGCGCCGTGGCCAACAACCACGCCGGCCCTCCTCAGGCCCGGCCCTTCCTCCATCAGTCCCAGAGAGATCGCTGCTCCTCGGCGTCGGTCACTGCAGGGTCCCCAAGGGCTCATCACGGCGAGAGTCACGAGGAAGGCGAGCGTCTCGCTCCCTACTGCAGCAGCTTTGGTAGTTCCACCTGCCGGAGGAAACGTCCCGTTACCCAGCATGGATCGGTGGTGGAGGCTGATGGGGTCTGGTGAGCCTATGCTGCTGGGGGCACTCAGAGCTCTGGGGTCACTGCTCCTTCCTGGCCAGGCTCTGGTTGTCCCCATGCCTCAGGGCGGCGTGGTCAGGGGCACAAAGTGCTTCGGGAAAGGGAGGCTTTGCGCCACGATGGATCTCCTGACCCCTTGTGCCTAAAAGGGACGGATCCCCCGACTCCACACAGCATCTCCTGACCCCACGTGCCCTCCTGGGGACTGTGCCAAGGGATGGATCCGCCCGCCCTGCGTGCTCAGCGAAGGGATTTGGGTCTGTCCCTGACCCGTGCTCTGCACAGGGACCGTGGGCCCCGCGCTGTTCCCAGCACTGTCTGCCGCACCAGAACGACCTCAGCCAGCACATCAACCCCGCGGTGCTGCTCCCGGTTGGCCCCGCCGCACCCCACACTCACCTTCTTGAGCTGTTTGAGGTTGCTGGAGCGGATGGCCGCCAGCAGTTGATCTCGTGAGCTCTTCTCCTGCATGGGCACCCGGTCCCCCATCTTCCTCTGCGTGGCCGGCGACAGCGAGTTCCTCAGATTCTCGTTGATCAGCGGCGGGGCGAGGGGAGGAGGAGGGGGGGGTGGCGCGGCGGGCGCTCCCCCCTTCTTGGGAGAGTTTTTGGGGGACGCTTTTGGGGACGGCTGCGGGGATCCCTTGGGGGACCCCTTCGGGGCTCCGGCCTTGGGCACCTCCAGCAGATCCTTCTTCTCGCCGCGCTCCTGCGCCAGCTTCTGCTCCTGGAGGCGCTTCTGCCTCTGCCTGTCCATGTTGCGGCTCAGCAGGTTGGTGACGGTCATGCGGGGCCCGGCCAGCTCGAAGTGGTAGCCCAGCTTGAGCAGCGTGGTGTTCTCCTTCAGCAGCTTGGCGATCTCCATCTCCGTTTTGCCCCCGCAAATGTGCCGCTGGTTGTGGAAGCGCAGCTCCGTCAGCGTGTCGTTCTGCAGCAGCGCCCGGAAAATGGCCAGGATGCCTTTCCCCGTGATGTGGTTGGAGTCCAGGTTGATGCTGGTCAGCACCTTGTTGGACTTCAGCATGATGGCGATGGCGAAAGCCACGTGGTCGTCGGCGCGGGTGTTGGCCAACGCAAACAGCTTGACCACGGTGTTGAACTCCAGCGCCTCGGTGAAGCGCACCAAGGTCTCGTTGTTGATGCAGTCCGAGTTGTTCACGTTCACCTCGGTGACCTCGGCGTCGTTGTTCTTCACCTTCTCGATGAGCTCGTCGAAGATGCTCGAGGCCTCGTCCTCCTTGGGCTGCTCCGGGGCGCTGCTGGGGGCGGCCGTGGGGCTGCTCTGCGCTGCCGCCTGGGGCTCCTCCTTCCCCTCTGCTGCCGCCTCGGGCTGCGGTTTCTCCTTCTCATCTGCCTCGGGTTTTTTCGAAGCGGAGCTCTTTTCCTCTTCTTTTTTATCTTTGTCTTTCTTCTCTTCACCTTTCTTGTTCTTTTCTGTCTCTTTCTTCGATTCCGAGCTCTTCTCCTCCTCCTTTTTGTCCTTCTCTGTGCCCTTCTTCAATGCCGACTTCTTTTCTTCTTCCGTTTTGTCCTTCTCTGTCTCTTTCTTTGCTGCTGAGCCCTTCTCTTCCTCCTTTTTATCCTTTCCTGCATCCTTCTTCAGCGCTGAGCCCTTTTCCTCCTCCTGTTTATCTTTCCCCACATCCTTCTTTAATGCTGAACCCCTTTCTTCCTTTTTGTCCTTCTCCGCACCCTTCTTTGCTATTGGACCCTTCCCTTCCTCCTTCTTGTCTTTGCCCATCAGCTTGTTTTCCATGGCCTTCACCTTGTCATTGATGGCTTTCCTGTCCTTGGTTTTGCTCTCAGCCTCCCCTTTAGCTTTCGGCTCCGTCTTTTGGGCACTTTCTTCCTTCTTAGGGTCTTTCCCCACTCCTGTATCGCGTTTCTTGGCCAGGTCTTTGGCAGGAGCTTCTTTTCCCTTTTCTGCTCCATTCTTGACATCCTTCTTCTCGTCCAGCCTGCTTTCCTAACAACAGAGGATCGTGGAGGTGTTAGCAGGTCAGGCTCCCTGAGCTCCAGCCTCACCACCCAGCTCTCAGTCACATCCCAGACGTTATGGCCAGCACTGCTCTGCACAGCCCGGCCTTGGGAAGCCTCCCCACCCCCAGCTGGCTGCTCTCACACCACACTGCAGCTCCTGTCTGCGTTTTGCAGAGCAAAACCAAACCCAGCTCCAGGGGAGGCCTTGGTGTGAGCGCCCCTACCAGGCAGAGACTGCAGGAGCCCAGGTTCACTTCCCCGTGTACCCGGAGCGATGCACAGCACTCACTTCCAGCAACAGCAGCGTGGCTGTGAGACCCCTCCACCCCACTGAGGGTGGTGCTATGGAGGATTCATCTGACACAGGAGGATGCTCAGTGCTGGGACCGAGCCTGCAGTGCAGGGCACAACCTGCAGCAAAGCCTGCAGCTGAGTTTGGCAATTTGGGCTTCCTTCTCCTCGCTCCACGCCTGGGGAGCGCATGAGGGTCAGCGCTGTGCCTTGAACCCCCAAATAGCAGCCAGGTCCCAACAGCAGCCCCATCCCAGCCCCATGCCAGCCCTCTGGGACTGCTGGTTGGTGGGAAGAACTGGCCGGGCCACCAGCGGGCCAGCAGCAGGGACAGCGTGTACCTGGCGTGAGCACAGATGCCATCTGGGATGAAGCTGTTTGTTTAGCTAAGAGATTTCTTGGCTCCCCAGCATGGAACCAGGGCAGGCGGCGCAGAGGCACGGAGCCACGTCCACAGCCCCAGCGGTGGGGATGGATGGAGAACTGGGGGTGCTGCTGCCTCACACGCTGAGCCCAGAGGTGCCTTTCGAAGGCGTTTGGGGATGTCCTGGGTTGGAAGTTTGGGGATGTCTGAGGATGAAAGTTCCTTGCGCAGCTTCCCGAGCTCCCCAGCTCTTTTTCTTCCACTCCTCAAGCTGCAGCCAGCAGCCCCAGCCCCACACCAAGTGCTCCAAAAAGCCTTCTCCTTTCCAGCCCGTGGTTGCAGCTCAGTGATGGGTTGGGGGCTCCCCGACTCCCCAGGACAAAGCAGAGTGAAGCCAAGAATGAGCAGATCTTGAAGAAAGGGAGGAAAACTGTGGAGAAGGAGCTGCAAAACCTTCCATGCTTAGAGGAGGCAGTGGATTTCTCCAAATAAGACAAAACCAGAGTGAAATAATCAGCCCCGCAAGTTGAAGCCATCTCTCTTATCTTGTTATCACATCATTAGTGCTGTTATCATTAAAGCAACTGTGCCCTGATCTGCCCCCACGTGTCCAGAGCAGAGGGAAAGGGGAAGGGGAGGGGGAAGGTGAAATGGAAAGGGAAGGGAAGGGGAAAGGAGGGATGCACGCGTTCCCTGCTCCTCCCTTTGCCTCCTGCAG